CACCTCTCGTTCTTGTTGTTTCTTCTCCTGTTCTTGGTGCATGGTCATACTGATGATACTTTTCCACTCAAGGATGGGGTCCACTGCTCAGCTGCCTTGGTCCTCCTCCTTGGCCTCATTATCCCCTTCAGCCCCCTTGTCAATGGTCCTCTTGTGGAGGGAACTGCCTTGCTGACTGAAGGTTTTCAGGGTGAGTAGGTTGGGGCTGAGCACTTAGCTCAGCATCATTAGGACCAGATCGAGGAGTAGGCTCCCAGTCAGACTGCTCCTCTTCTCCTTCTGCTAGCAGCGCCACTGCTCTGTGATACCAGCAGAAGTTTCTGTAGAACCAGGGGCAAAGGAAGAGGGTGGCAATTGGCCTGTCAAGGACCCTTTTGAGGTCTCTGGTGGGGTCAATATGCTTGTTGTCGCCCTTGATTGATCTCTGGTCTGATGGTATTCTATCTCCCCAGATGGAGATATCATCAGTTTCGGCAATGGTGTCTATCCCGTATGATAATGGGCGATCATCATCAAGGAGTGTCGGCTCCCCACAGTGATAATTATCAGCATAAACAACTCCAGCAGTTGGCCTGGTCCAAGGGTCAGGCTCGCTGATGGGAGTGGCTGGTTCCTGGAATGGAGAGTCAGTAATACTGATTAGAGAATGATTGAGTCAGTTGGGGGCATAATGGCAACCAGTCTGGTGGTCGGTCCATGTCTATCCTTTGAGAAACTGGGCAAGGGACTGGGGGGTCAGTTGTATTAGGTTTGGTACTACTGGATCACATCTTGATAGGCATGAGGCTCCTCTCTGTTCCAGTCTACTGGCCGCTCTTGATGCTGCTTGCTAGTATCAGATCTTGTTCCTGTTGGTGTCATCAAAGAAGAGATCGGGACTACTGACCCTTGTTCTCCTTCCACTACTTCTTGTTGATGAGGCATGGTGGGGTTGGTGCCTGTCAGTCCTTCCGGTGCTTGGAGCCATCTGAACAGCATCCAAGGAGTCTCCAGCCCAGTGCCCAATTCCAGACTGGGCAACGGTTGTTCTTGACACAGTGATGCTGTGCTTAGGGAAGAAGATGGAGGTGTCAGGTTGGGGTTGTCAAAACCCTATAGCCCAAGGGTTTCCAAGGTCTTGGACAATTGCCAATGGGAGTCTTGGGGGGTACTTGTGTTGCTGCTGCTACTGCTCCTCTTTTCTAGAACGCCCTTTAGCTGAGCCCCTAGACTCGTCTTCTGTTTCTTTGGAGTGTCGGATGGAGTTTCAAATAGAGGCAGGAATGTTATAGAGGGGGAGGTCTGGTGTGACATTTCAAAGGATTATACAGATGCATTGAAACTCTTGGTAGTGTCGAATGGCCCAGGCGGTAATAGATTGGCATCCATGGCACAGCTGTATGATCATCAATAAACCGATCAAGGTTCCAATGATAGAAGCCAAGAGTTCAAAGAACTTGTGAGTAAAGTTTGGATCAGATGGATTTAGAGCAAGGGGCATTCAGTTTCTTAGCATGGCTGGGCCTGAGAAAAGGAAGCAAGAAGCTTCAAGCTAATTGTTAAGCCCAAACTCCATGTGACTATCAACACATGATAAACAGTTCAGAACCTCACACTTCAGGTTAGACTGACTGAGTTTACTGATATATTAATAGAAGTGTGTGGTCAAGGCATTGCAAGTCACTCAAGATAGAATGGTGAAGAATAAACTTTAGCTTAAAGCTGGGGTATTACAGCAAGAGCTATACTACTTAAATATTATTCTGTTATCATGCTATAAATAAATGTCTCACAAAAGCTGTTGTCTGTCATAGAGCTGTTATCCCTGCTGTTGCCAGGCTCTCCATAAAAGCTGTTGTCTTGCTGTTGTGCTGTTGTTGCTACACTGCAACTTGAGGACAAAAGGAGTATTGTCTCTCCCTTCACAGCACACAGCAATGTGATAGGAGAGTGACTGACTGGATGCTGAGCTAAGCATTCCTATGGTCCTAGACACTGGCCTAAGCACTCTGACTAAGCAAGGATAGAGGTCATTTCCGAGGGAAAAAAAAAGAAAAAAGAAAAAAAATAGGAAAAATCATAACAATGACCTGCATGACAGTTCTCTCCTTGAGAGGAATGCAGATAGCAAGATCACCAGTGGGGATGCAGACAACAAGAGGGAGGAGGATCATGATGAGAAAGTCACAGATTCTCCAACTGACTGGGTCAGCTCATAGAACGTCAATATGTATGAATAGAAGCAGAGGGAGTTAGCATGAGAAGCATGAAAGGAGGATTTTATAGAGTTGTTCTAGGAAGGGACAACAACATTATGGACAGATGACATCTGGTTAGTATCACCTATGAGACAAAGGTACCTTTCCACCAACTATGTCAAGCATGCAGAGATTTTACAATATGTGGCCACTGAATGGGCTATTTTTATTTACAATAAAAGATATTTAGGACACTAGATGCAGGTGTTGCCACTATACAGGCTGAAGTATAGCACAACACTAAAACCATGAATGCCGAGTATTGTGCTGAGCCAGCTAGCCAATATGGCACCCATCATCTGAATAATGTCATCAAGATATTTGTTTGCCACCTCTGCTATCTGCAGCATGGCATCTCAGCTTTCCCAATACTGACCCAAGCCAAGCAGTTACCATCCAAACCCATGGAGGTTCCTGGTCTGGCAACCATTTGCCAGACAGCTGCTACCAGATGAAGCTGAGGGTAGCAAAGACCCTGAACCCACTGAATCAGCTCCTATAGAAGATGACCCTGTGGCATTAGCCTAGAGCTGGACCATCAGGAATGAGCGAATCATACAGAAGACAGTTCCTCCACTGAGAAGTCCTGTTGCTAATGACAGCTCCCTCCACTCCTTCCCAGGGCCCCCAAGCAGATGGATGGGACCACCTGCTAGAGGGTGACCCAACCTGATGCCTGCCCTCGATGCAGGAGCCCAAATCCTTAATGTCAAACCTGTTCTGGTAGCAAAACCCAAACTATTCTGAGGGGCCTCTGATGATATTGACCAATTTCTGGTCGACTGCAACCAGTACTTTCAAGTATTCATGCTATATTTTCTTGCTGATATATACAAAGTCACATTTACAGTCACTCACATGGCTGACAAAGCAAAGATCTGGTGGGTCCTAATTTCTCTGACATTCTAGTCCACCATGAGGACCCATCATTGATACCTCTCATGGCCAGTATTCAAACAAATGATTGTCAATAAATTCACAGATCCAGCCATTCAAAAAGTCTATAAGCAGAAGATAAAGGAGTATAAGATAGCTGGCAAGGCTGCCACTGACTACTTCAATGAATTGGAGCAACTTGGATGACTTGCCAGAGTCTGCAATGATGTCACTGACTCCAGATGAATGGTCAAATACATGAAGATGGGCCTACCATCTCATTATCTCATCACTATTTCTGACATCAGGTAAGGAATCTCTGTCAGATACAATGAATGGAAGACTCAAATCATCACCATGTACAAGAAACAACAATGATGGAAGGCAGAAGCAATGACCTTGGCATACAGAACTTATAGAAGCCAGAGACAAGGCTCAAAGCCTTCTGCTCCTGCCATGCCTATCAAGCCTGGGGGCTCAACTCTAACTTCTTTCAGAGAGAAGCAAACTGGTATAGGCACAACATTTACCAGAACAGGTCAGCTGATGGATGTGGATTGCCTCAAGAAGAGGGGAAAGTGTTTTAATTGTGGCCAGAAGGGCCACATGGCATAAAACTGTCCCCAAAAGAAGAATAAATACATCTGGAAGGACATTCAAGCACAGATTGCTGAGTTGATGAAGAAGGACCAAGATCTTGGACCAGAAGACAAGCCCAAGAAGGTAAAAGGTAAGGCCGAGCAGTGAGCAATTCCACTGACTCAGCCCAAATATTAACCTGTGGACTGTCACTCTCAGCTGTAAAATGGACTGATAATTTTCCTTCTGTAGTTACTCCCCCTATGTCTAAATTATGCATGTATTTGAATATACCTGACAGTATCACTTTTATGGAATCACCTAAGGAACTGAAACAACCAAAACTAATTGCTCAATCGCTGACATATGGCTGAAAAAGGACAGAGAGTCTCAAAAAAGGTGAGTCCTCATTAAAAGTTCATCAAACTGATACTTTAGGAACTCAATCGCCCTCAGGCTAAATAGAGGCAGAGAGCCCCAATGATTGGCTCAAACTGTTTGACACCGAATGGACTTGGCAAGCCATCAAAGATGCCAAGGACTGTTACGATTTTTCCTATTTTCTTCCTATTTTCTTTTCTTTTTTCTCAGAAATGACCCCTATCCTTGCTTGGTCAGGGTGCTTAGGCCAGTGCTTAGGACTGTGGGAACGCTTAGCTCAGCAACTCAGTTGGTCACTCTCTTATCGCATTGCTGTGTGCTGTGAAGGGAGAGACAATATTCCTTTTGTTCTCCAACTGTGGTGCAGCAGTAACAGCACACAGCAGGACAATAGCTTTTGTGGAGAGACTGGCAACAGCAGAGAAAACAGCACAACAGCAAGACAACAGCTTTTGTGAGCATTTATTTATAGTACGATAACAGAACAGTATTTAAGTAGCTTAGTTCTTGCTGTAATACCCCAGTCTTGAACTAAAGTTTATCTTCACCAAACTACTCTCGAGCTCTTACTACTTGAGCCTTGACTCACTTCTGCTATTAACTCTTGAACTCAGTCAGACATACCTGAAGCACGAGGTACCGAACTGTTTATCATGTGTTGATAGCTATGTGAAACTTGGGCTTAACAATTAGTTTGAGACTTCTAGCTTCCCTTCTTTGAGCCTAAAGGCTAAAAGAACTGAATGCTTCCCATCGACCTCTTCTCAATCAATCAACAAAAACATCATATGTCTTTCAACGCCGGCTCTATCAACTCCAAAGTACCCTCTTTCTCCATTGAATTGCTGACTACTCTTCTAGAAACCCTAACAACCAGGATAATCAGGGATTATCAAGCCAAGGATGACATCATCTAAGAACTCATCAATGGCCTCTCTACTGAGGCCCGAAACACTGAACTCAGATCCGGAGAAGGGTCTGAAGGCATGGGCCAATCAGGTCCTTGCTAAGAGGAGGAGGAATCCCTCCTCAGTTCCTCATGAGTCCAGGCCTCCAACCCCAACTCCACTGATACACTGGTGGAAGAAGAGGAGGTCGAGCATGGCCAGCAGTGGAGAGATGAGCTCGATGAGGAGCACCGACAGTTGGCCAGAATTGGCTGACCAACACAGTGGGGCCCAGCCCCAAGAACCTGGGAGCCAAGGAGATGGCCCTCAGGCACAGAATGAGATGAAAATCCCAAAGACGACCCCTATGCCCCAGATCACTGGGATGAACTCAAGGACAATCAGGATCGAAGTACCAATCCCTGATCAACAGTCACCAAAGAAAGTGGTATGGATAGTTGGGGACCCCTATCAACCAGAGGACGAAGGTGGTCCCCAGGCACCGAGTGGAGCGAGGATCCCAAGGACAACCCCTACGAGGCCGACCGGTGGGAGGACTCCACCAATAAAGGAGAAAGCGGTCCAGATGGACCCCTATCCAGCCAGTCAGGGAGCAGTGGCTCCCTGGCAGATGATGAGTCCTTCGATTGGACCATCAAAGCAAGAATACCACCTCGGCTGACACTCCAGATCAGCAATCGAGCCCTTCATGGGTTCTTGCACAGGAAGCTCACTACTCTCTTCCTCAATCAAGACTTCTTTGAGGAGTTCCAACAATATGCTGGCCAGGTGGCAGACAAAAGAGAGTGACAGCACAATGCCAAGACAGAAGGAGTATAGGATCTCCCCACTTGGAGAGTCTCATACTGGAAGGACTCCAATGATCTCCAAGGCTTATATTGGCCCAAGAGAAGAAGGAGAAATAGAAGAGGAGGAAGGTACCCCCTCCGCAAATAATCAATGGACCCGGCTGGTGGACGAGGAGTAGAAAGACTGGAAGGACAGGGAAGAAAGGTATCCAAGAAGACAGCGATACCCTTGGCTAATCTTCAGAAACAACGAGAGGCCACTAGCACCAGCCCTACCCCTGGTACTTCCCGAAGATGAATATCTGCCTTTCCTGGTGAGTACTCCACCACCCTGGAGAAGAAGTCCTTCTGAAAGCAGTATGATATCATGGCTTTCTGAGGAAAAGCTGAAACATCCAAACCCCTGGAAGGTCCTGGGGTTTCCACCATAACCGCTGGGAGGACAGCTGCCTCCAGATGAAGCTGAAGGCAGTGGAGACCAATACCTAAGCCACCTCCCCCAACAGAAGATGACCCTGAGACACTCATCCAGGGCTGAACTATCAGAAACAAGAGGATCGTTCGAAAGGAAGCCTCCAAGTCAGAAAGTCCCATTGCCGACAATGAATCCCTTCATTCATTCCCAGGGCCTCCAAAGGGATGGGCGCAGCCACCCCATGGTGGACTCCCGAATCCGATACCCACCCTTGATGCTGCTGCTCAAATCCTTCAGGTCAAACCAGTTCTTTGCACAGAACCCCGCCTCTTCCAAGAGGCATCTGATGACATTAACCGATTTCTGGTGGACTGTGATCAATATTTCCAGGTGTTCGCCCCATACTTCCTTGCCGATATATACAAAGTAATGTTTGCCATTACTCACATAGCAGACAAGGCCAAAGTGTGGTGGATTCTAATTGCCTCCACTTTCTGGTCTACTACCAGGGACCATCATTGATATCCTGCATGGCCGGTCTTCAAACAAATGATCAGAGACAAATTCACAGATCCTGCAGTCCAAGAAGTCCACAAACAGAAGATGAAGGAATTCAAGATGGCTGGAAAGCTAGCCACAGATTACTTCAATGAACTAGAATGACTTGGCACTCTCGCAGGGGTCTGGGAGGATGTTGCTGATACTGGATGAATAGTCGAGTATATGAAAATGGGATTACTATCCCATTATCTCATAACCATCTCAGACATCAGTCGGGACATCCTGATAGGCTATGATGAGTGGAAGAGCTGAATCATCACTATGTACAAGGAATAGGAGCGACAGAAGGCAGAAGCCACCATCCTGGCCTATGGCCATCAAAGCCAAGGACAGGGACAGGGATAGGGCCCAAAGCCCTCTACCCCCAGAACGACTACATCTGCTAGGCCCAGCGGCTTGACCTCAACTTCTTACAGAATGAAGCAAACTGATATGGGCATGACATATACCGGAACAGGTCAGCCAATGGATGTGGATCACCTCAAGAAGGGGGGGAAGTGTTTCAATTGTGGCCAGAAGGGCCACATGGCATGAAACTGCCCTCAGAAGAAGAACAAGCACATGAGAGAAGAGATCCAGGTGCAGATCGCCGAGCTGATGAAGGAAGACGAAGATCTCAAGCATGACAACAAGCCTGAGAAGGTAAAAGACTGGGCCGAGCAGTAGGCAATTCGACTGTCTCGGCCAAAGGAACAAGTAATGGGTCACAATCTGCTGGGCAGACTAACATTTCATCCCCTATAGGATCACCACCTATGTCCAAATTATGCATGCATTCAAATATACCTGACTCCACTACTCAAAACCCAGAATCACCTAAAAAACCAATCCCGATGACTCAAGTGCCGATGAAGGGCCGAAGAGGGGCAGAGAGCCCTGAAGGTATGTCTTCTTCGAAAGTTCATCAAGCTAACAAAATAAAACAGACTCAATTGCCTTCAGGCTGAACAGGGGCAGAGGGCCCCACAATGTGGCTCAAGCCATTCGATACTGAATGGACTTGGCGAGCCATCAAAGATGCCAAGGACGAAGCAGTGGCAAAAGCTGTACTCAAAAACTGGGTACACAAAACACGAGCCAAAGAAGTAATTGATGAGATGATCACCAGAATGAAAGCTGCAGAATAGTGCCGGGCTCTGGAATGGCTGGATGAGTTACATGGACCACGGAAATTCATTCAACACACCAAACTCATGGGATGTGACTTATTGACCAAGGCCCAGATCGAGACATTAACATCCCGATCGACCCATGTGGTCACTGCCTTAATTGACAGTGGATGCACAGGGAGTAGCATCAATTGGGCCTTTGTCGACAAAAACAAATTGCCCACTCGAGCAACAGCAGCGCCCATTCTCATCTACAATGTGGATGGAACAAAAAACCAAGCTGGATCGATCACCAAATATGTTGAGCTTAGGCTCACCATTGGTGATCATTCGGAATGGATTGACTTAGCTGTTACCAACCTAGGAATGAAAGAAATATTTCTTGGTCATGACTGGCTAATCCAACACAATCCACTCATCAATTGGAAAACAGGACGCATCATCTTTGCTCGATGCTGTTGCCAAAAAACCCCCTTCGAGTTACCAGATGCAGACTCTGAAGATCAGTGGGATGAGGAAATAGAAGATGGCAAAACAATCCTTGCTATCGACCCTCAAAGGGCCATTAACATCTATACCACACACCATGCTAATGACCTAGCAGCAAGGGTGAATGCGGAGAAGGAGGAGAAAATGTTTGAAGAAATGGTACCCACATGGGCCCGCGACTTTTGGGATTTATTCAAAAAAGAAAGTTTCGACGAACTACCTGATGCAAAATCCTGGGACCATGCCATCAAACTAACTCCTAATGCCAACGTCAACCTAGATTGCAAGTGCTATCCACTTAGCAATAATGAGCAACAGGAACTGGACAAGTTCTTGGAAGAGAACTTATCCAGTGGGAGAATCCAGCCATCAAAGTCACCGATGGCATCACCCTTCTTTTTTGTTAAAAAGAAAGATGGAAAACTCTGACCAGTACAAGATTACCAGAAGCTGAACAAAATGATGATCAAGAATCATTATCCCCTTCCATTAATCTCAGAGTTAATGGATAAACTTTGGGGCGTGAAATACTACACCAAATTGGACATTCGGTGGGGATACAACAATATGCGTATCAAGGAGGGCAATGAGTGGAAAGCCACTTTTTGAACAAACCACAGTTTGTTCGAGCTGACAGTAATGTTCTTTGGCCTAACCAACTCGCCAGCGACCTTCCAGTGGATGATGAATGACATCTTCAAAGATCTCATTGCCACAGGGAAGGTCACAATCTATTTGGATGACATACTAATCATGTCCAAAACCAAAGAGGAACATAAGAGGCTGGTACGCCAAGTCCTATCCTTGATGAGGAATGTTACGATTTTTCCCCTTTTTCTTTCCTTTTACTCCTATTTACGCTCAGCACGAGACCGCGGGAAGGGCTTAGTAAGCACAACTGAGCCGCCTAGATACAACGATGCTCGCCAACACACAATGGTCCTTTTATGTACGACAACGATACCCAA